ATATTTCACTTGTGTTTCTATGGGGGTGCAAACGATTGAAATCTTTACTTAATGTACACTAAACTGATCTTCTGTAAAAAAAAAAAAAAAAAGAAATTATCAATTCCCAACTTGACTCTCACTGGGATTAAACATGACAATAGGTCTGATCTGATTTCATCATCATTTAAAAAAAAATCATCTATTATTTTTCACTTTATGTTCCTGTGTGGGAACAAACTGTTGAAATCCTTACTTAAGGTATCCTAAGCTGATCTTCTGTATATTAAGATAATCGAAAATGAATCTTGATGTGAATGGAAGGGGAGAGGGAGTGGGAAAGGGGAGGGTTGTGGGTGGGAGGGACGGTATGGGGGGGAAGCCATAGTAATCCATTATTCGTACTTTGGAAATTTATATTCATTAAATAAAAGATAAAAAAAAAATTAAGTTGGTAAGGCTGCAGTTTGGCATAGCAGTTAAGATGCCATTTGGGATGCTTGTATCTCCTATTGGCGTCCCTGGGTTTCAGTACCAGCTCGTAGCTGTTGTGGGCATTTGGGGAATGAACCAGTGGGCAGAAGATCTCTCTCTCTCTCTTTCTGCTTTTCAAATAAAAATAAATATAGCATTATTCTGAACAATCTTATAGATTGTTATAAGTTAACTTGTTAACTGGAATCCCTAGGACAACCACTAAGGAAATAACTTAGAAAATATAATAAAAGAAACAACAGAGAGTTAAAACAGAACACAAGAAAACATTTAATATAGAACAAGGCAGTAATGGAAGGAGAGAGGAACATGAGACACAGAAAGCAAAATAGCAAAAATGTCAGATACAAATTTTCCTTATAATAATTACACTCAATGAAAATGGTTATACATGGTCATTAAAAGGCAGAGGTTAGCACAATGGACTTTTAAAAATGACCCAACTATATACCTTATATTAAACATACTTTCAACTCAAAGAAACAAATAGGCCAAGAGTAAAAGGATAGAAAAAACATGCCTACTGCAAACAGGAACCCAAAGAGATCTGGAGTGACTGGCTATACTAACATAAGACAAAATAGACTAAGAAAATAATTGTTACTAGAGACTAAAAAGAATATTATATAAGAATAAAAGTGTGAAACCATCAATAATATAATAATTGTAAACATATATGCCCCATATTAAATATTAATATTGCCCCCAAATCCATGTCAACTCAGAACCTTAGAATGTGACACTATTGAAAACCATCTTCACAGGTATAATTAATTAAGATAAGGTCATGAGCAATGCTTGTGGTGATGGAAATTTTCTGTCTCTCAACTATCAATGTTAATTTTATCAGTACTCTATTTGAGGTATTGTGTTATTGTTTTTAAATATGTTACAGCAACCTAAGTAATGAGTACACAGGATCTCTCTCTGTGTAGTACTTCTCACAACTGCATATTTATAAGTACCTCAAAATAAAAAGTTTAATTAAAAACCAGAGGGCCAATCAAATTAGTAACTGAAAAAAGCAATTTATTACTCTTTAATCAATTCTAAGATATTCCATTTTCTTGAATGAAATAGATTCATGTTTTGTTTGCTTATAAAGAAGTTGAATTACTTTGACTTGACATGTTATTTTAAAATGAAATATCTGTAGAAACTTGAATAATACCAATGGAAATATCACTTGCCAGACTATTACACTGCTAATACTTTTTTTTTCCAAATATGGACTTTTCCACTTATTTTTGTAGAAGTGGAAAATTCCTCTAGCAAGAATGTTTTGAATGTTAAATAAAAATATCTTGTTTTACTTATGTTACTTAATTTTAGTAAGGCAACAATGGCTTCTAAATTCAATTCCAGCTCAAAGATATTTATCATCATAACATATAGGCAAAAAATTTCCAAAGACAGAGATAATTTAAAAACCACCACATATAATTCATGAAGAAATAGGTACAAAGACATTTTCCATTTACTTTCCATACTTGGAACAATGGTGGAAAGTATCATTATACTCTGAAATCTCTATATATGAAATTAGTTCACCTTATGTAAATAAACAAAATTTTAAAAATATTTCTCAAAATGAAACCAGTCCTTCTACATAAATTTTTTTAACTTATTCACTTGAAAAGCAGAATGAGAGAAATAGAGAAGGAAAAAGATAGAGAGAAAGAAAGAGATGGAATATTTTTCATTCTTTGGCTCACTCCTCAAATAGCCACAACAGCTGAGCCTGGACCAGGCTGAAGCCAAGAATCTGGAACTCCATCTGGGTCTCTCATGTGAGCGACAGGAACTCAGGTATTTGAGGCATTATCTGCTGCTTCTCAGCCACATTAGAAGGGAGTAGCCAGAATTTGAGCCTGCACTCTGATACGGAATGCAGACATTGCAAGCAGAGGCTTATCATGTTGCCCCACAATGCCTGGCCCTAGATCAAATGTCTGACACAATCACTATTATTTTCAGGCATATGTTATTGTTATTTGTAAAAAATTACATGTCCAGGGCTGGCATTGTGGCACAGTGAATTAAGTTGCTGATTGCAATGTTGGCATCCTATATCAGAGTGTTGGTTTGAGTCCTGTATGCTCTACTTCCAATCCAGCCTCCTACTAATGTACGTGTGAAGGCAGTAAACATGGCCCAAGTACTTGAGACTCTATCACCCACATGGGAGTCCAGGATGGAATTCCTGGCCCCTGGCTTTAGTCAGGCTTTAGACCTGGTTATTGCAGGCATTTGAGGAGTGAAACATCAGGTGGAATATCTTTCCCTGTCTGTCACTCTGCCTTTCAAATAAACCATCTTTTTTTTTTCTTTCTTTCTTTTTTTTTTTTTTTTTTAATTTGTCCTTTCACTGTGTTAGTGTGAATCAAGTCAACAAATGTTCACAGAACACCTACTAATGCTGGGCTCTTCTAGAGAAACAAAGATAAGTAGATTTGATTGCTGCTGCCTAAAGAGCTTTCAACTTAATAATGGAGAATTATTTTTACACAAGATTTCAGCCTAGTAGGGGGCATGAAAAGGAAGTAGCCAAGAGGAAAGCATTGGTTTTGCAAATTTTAAAAGAACTGGTAGTAAGTAAAGGGTGTAATAGCTGGGGAGAAGGTTGAAGAGATGAGCAGATGTCAACTTTGGCAGGATCCTGAAGACATTGGTGAGGATTAGAGACTTTGATTTATGTCCAGTTAAAAGCCACTGAAAACTGTCAAACACTGAAAGTTTTCGAGTAACCAAAGGGCAATTCTTGTCATGTGGAAAACACACTGGAGAGGGAAAGGATGGCTCAGAAACAATGGTAGGTTAAACTAGGGCAGAAGCAGCGTAAATGGAAAGAAATGGTTGCTGTTCAGATACATGCAGTTGCAGCTGGAATCTGTCTATGATCATCACTGGTGGGTTCATTAAGGCACAGACATAGGTCTGTCTCATTCTTGAGTTAATCCTCATGGAAACAAGAACTTTTAACTATTTTTGGTTCCAAATGATGGACCAAGAGAGAAAGTAACTCAGACCTGATCTGTGCTTTTCACAACCAAGTCCTAATCTGTTGAACATGGAGGATGTGCATTGGTTCCTTGATGGCAGCTTACTACTCTTTTGTGCTCTGAATCTCATCACATAGGGCCTGCATCCAAGCAGACATCTCCTTTCTACTGTTACCCACAGACCCCAGTTTCTGTTTTAGTCCCTATTACAAGTGGCTGGTCCCTGAGAATCATGACAGTGTCAGGGTCACAGTTAAATCACTAACAGCTTTTTCGTCCAATAAATATTTGCTGAATGAATGAACAAATTAGCCCTATGGGAAAGACAAGAATCCCAATTTTATGGGAAATGGAAGCTTATATAAATTTTGGACAAAATGGCAAAAGAAAGTTGTACACTTAGGGTGCAAGCTCAGGTCTCTGAGTCCAGATTCCATTGAAATGCATAGACAAAGTCTTTTTAGACAAACCGCAAGTAAAATAGTTAACTGTGGAAGTTTTAGGGTCTATATAAAATCAGTGTGCTAATGGGGACACCCACAATATCTGCTTGTTTGTGAGATGCCCTGAGGGATAAAAACTGTGTTAATGTTCATTTGCTGCTTCCAAAGCTTGCAAGTGTTTCTGCAGATGCTTAGTTCTGATGGTCTTATGTAGCACCCCTTTGACATTCATTTAAATTGGATTTTATAAAAGCAGCATATCATCTTACATAGCCAATTAGTCATTTTACCAACTAAGATTGTACTTTTTCAAGTGGCATTTATGAATGCATACTCTCTGAAAATCTAAAAGAAAACAGATACAGAGAATAAAAGTAGAGAACTAATGGGTTATACTTTGATTAAATTAAGAAGTCAAAAGATAGATGCTTTAAAATTATGAATGTAAGATTCAGTTTTCTCTCTCTTTCTCTCTCTCTCTCTCTCTTTTTTTTTTTTTTTTTGACAGGCAGAGTGGACAGTGAGAGAGAGAGAGACAGAGAGAAAGGTCTTCCTTTTCTGTTGGTTCACCCTCCAATGGCCACTGCGGCTGGTGGGCTGCGGCCGGTGCACGACGCTGATCTGAAGCCTGGAGCCAAGTGCTTCTCCTGGTCTCCCACGGGGTGCAGGGCCCAAGCACTTGGGCCATCCTCCACTGCCTTCCTGGGCCACAGTAGAGAGCTGGCCTGGAAGAGGGGTAACTGGGACAGAATCCAGTGCCCCGACCGGGACTAGAACCCGATGTGCCGGCGCCGCAGGTGGAGAATTAGCCTATTGAGCCGCGGCGCCGGCCCTCGTGTTCTAAATAATATAATTCAATCTGACTTCCATTGACATTATACTTAATTATACTTTGGTTTGAGTATACATTGACATTATACTTAATGCCTCGCATGTACAAAGAAACTTAAATGAATTGCAAGGCACTCAATTTAAGCTTTAAAGAAGATAATTTCCTAAAGCATGTTTTATCATACCTTACAAACTTTTAAAACATGTGTATAAATATTTAATAATGACAAATTTTAAATTTTATACTTACTCTCTCGTGATACTTTTGGTTCTTTTCCCTAAGCTTTTTTATTTGAAACATGAAGCGCTCTACTGCATTTTCCTTTATTTGACAACTAAGAATAAACAAAGATGTGTTAAAAGTATTATCAAAGGAAAGATCAATGGGACAAAATTTTAAAATTACACTAAATTATCTGAATCCAAATAAATTGTTAAATATATGATAAAAACTTTTTAGAGATAAAAATTTTTTTTAAATGATTTTGTGCCCCTGAATCTGTTTGACTCACTAAAGTATACTTTGGGAAAGTAACTTCAAAGTTATTTTTTTCTCTTTATTGAAAAAAGAAGCCAATCTCTTCACATTTCGCTGATGTAATTTTTATATTTTCTAATATTTTATAAATAATTCGGCTTAAAGGAAACCTAGGAAAGGGCACAGAGAAGACATGTTTTCTAGAATTCTAAAAACACTCAGACATAAATGACAAATAAAATAGAGGTGTTACAAAGGGCAAGTACACCTTGTTAAGACACTAAGCTAATTTAGACATACGTTCACGTTCATTAGTGTACCATTTCTTCTGTGAATACTAAAAGCTTCTATCCTGACACAAATGTATTTCTTAAAACCTAACAAGTAGTTGGCGAGTATCTCTTAGATATGACAGACAGAAAAGAGGAGGAAGGGGTAGTGTTCTGGTGCATTGGGTTAAGCGACCCCTTCAGCTGGCTGGCGCCGCGGCTCACTAGGCTAATCCTCCACCTTGCGGCGCCGGCACACGGGGTTCTAGTCCTGGTCGGGGCGCCGGAGAGGGGCACCTCTTCCAGGCCAGCTCTCTGCTGTGGCTAGGGAGTGCAGTGGAGGATGGCCCAAGTACTTGGGCCCTGCACCCCATGGGAGACCAGGAGAAGTACCTGGCTCCTGCCATCGGATCAGCGTGGTGCGCCCGACCGCGGCGGCCATTGGAGGGTGAACCAATGGCAAAAGGATGACCTTTTTCTCTGTCTCTCTGTGTCTCTCTCACTGTCCACTCCGCCTGTCAAAAAAAAAAAAAAAAAAAAAAAAAAAGCGACCCCTTTGGATGCCATGTCAGGGTGCCTGGTTGGAGTCCTGGCTATTCTGAACTTCTGATCCAGCTTCTTGCTAATGTACCTTGGAGTCAGCTGATGATGATCTAGGTGTTTGGGTTCCTGTGACCTACAAAGGAGACCTAGATGGCATTCCAGGCTCCTGACTTCAGCCTGGCCCAGCCCTGGCTGTTACAGACATTTGGGGAGTGAACCAATGGATGGAAAATCTCTCTTTCCTGTCTCTTCCTCTCTCTCTCTCTCTCTCTCTCTCTCTCTGCCATTCTGCCTTTCAAATACATACATACATACATACATACATACATCTTAAAAAGAAAAGAGCAGAAAGACTTTTGTATAGTTTATTCAATAGCTATTTGAAGTGTTAGTATATCTCTATATTGCTATTACTTAGTGAGTTTTATAACTAAGTCTGGGATCAAATAAGGCAACAGAAATAGGCCCACCTAAACTGCTTACTTCAATAAAGAAAAACAAAATCAGAAATATAGCACCACTGTAGTGTAGTAAAAGTGGAGTGGCTAAAGAAAGGAACACTCAGCTTTTAAATCTTGTCCTCACCACTTCTTACCTACCCGAAACTACACAGTTTTCTGAGCCTAAATTTCCAAGCTGTTAGATGGAGACAACAATACTCAGCTCCATATAACATTGTGAGGATTAAAATAAGAAACCATATGTGAATGTTTCTAGCATAATTAAGCACTCAGAAATTGCAACTGAGTCTTACACACTCAGCCCTTCCACAAAAATATCATTTATATTTGTGACATTGTATGAGTATACTTGGTAGAGAGAAATAGGCATCTTCCTTATAATAAAAAATGATAAAAAAGCAAAAAACAAAATAAGGAAGCAAATCCTTTAATGGCAAAAAAAAGCTCTTTTTGTTTACTATGAAACTTGGATTTTAGTCCTTGTTTTCCACTAAGTGCCTAAGGACACTTGACATATTTAGGCCTTGGATTATTCCTCTTATAAATAAGAAGATTGAAAGAGATGAGCTCTATGGTTCATTTTCAGCTGCAAAATTCTGCAGTTTAAATTGACCAATATTTATTTCCTGCAGTCATACACATGACATAGATTTAATGAGCTGCCATCAGGTGCCCAGTATTGTTTTAGTCATTACAGAAATAGTTTTGAACAAGATCTTTGTGATCCTTGTCCTCAAGACTATATTTTAGTAGATGATAAGGAAACAAACACATACACATTGTTTACACATTGTGATAAATGCCTTAGAGGAATTAACAGGATATGAGTAGAGGGAATGGAAGGGTTGACTATAAATAGGTTGGGCTCCACACAACAGTAAAGATAAGTCTCCATGTAAGTAAAAATCATCCTTTACCTCTTACGTAAAGCTTAGATGTGCAAAAATTTTGAAGGCGTGCCTTCTCTACTTTCCATTTTTAACTATAAGAATAAAATATTACAAATGAAAAGTATCTAAAAAGAGCCTGTGGAAACATGTGCAAATTATTCACATAATTTCTGCAATTACAAATTTGGCAATACTATATCTGCACAAGTGGAGCAGGCAAATGCAGTCTCCACTGGCTGTGGCTGAGTTTTTGGATGAGCTCATTAAAAGATTGACTCCCTGGCTGCTGTGGAGAGCCTTCCTCGGTGATGACTGAGCAAGCAATGATGAGACTGGGCATCACATCCAGCCCTAACCCCAGACATTGCACAGGGGCAAACTCATACTGAAAATATCATCTATTTGAAATTAAAATTAAATTGGTCATCTATTTTTATTTGCTGCATCTGGCTACCCCACACTTAAGCTTATCACCCCTTCCATTACAACATTTAGGACCAAACAGCCCAGGGCCTTGTCTTGTGTTCATTTTGCTGTGAGTATCAGCAGGTCCCAAAGGGATGTCCTAAATGTTCTGGCGGTTTCACGGGCCCCCTTGTGGAGCTTATGGTAATTGCAGGTGTAACAGGATCCTGGGTCTCTCTGGATCCACCTAAACCTTCTCAGGTCTCAAGAAGAGATGGCTTTTCTACAGCCAACTTATATTTGATCAAGGATCCAAAACCAATCCCTGGAGTAAGGACAGTCTATTCAATAAATGGTGCTGGGAAAATTGGATTTCCACGTGCAGAATCATGAAGCAAGACCCCTAGCTTACACCTTACACAAAAATTCACTCAACATGGATTAAAGACTTAAATATACGACCCAACACCATCAAATTATTAGAGAGCTTTGGAGAAACCCTGCAAAATATAGGTACCAGCAAAGACTTCTTGGAAAAGACCCCAGAAGCACAGGCAGTCAAAGCCAAAATTAACTATTGGGATTGCATCAAATTGAGAAGTTTCTGTACTTCAAAAGAAACAGGAAAGTGAAGAGGCAACTGACAGAATGGGAAAAAATAGTCACAAACTATGCAACAGATAAAGGGTTGATAACCAGAATCTACAAAGAAATCAAGAAACTCCACATCAAAACAAACAACCCACTTAAGAGATGGGCCAAGGACCTCAATAGACATTTTTCAAAAGAGGAAATCCAAAGGGCCAACAGACACATGAAAAAATGTTCAAGATCACTAGCAATCAGGGAAATGCAAATCAAAACCACAATGAGGTTTCATCTCACCCCGGTTAGAATGGCTCACATTCAGAAATCTACCAACAATAGATGCTGGAGAGGATGTGGGGAAAAAGGGACACTAACCCACTGTTGGTGAGAATGCAAACTGGTAAAGCCACTATGGAAGTCAGTCTGGAGATTCCTCAGAAACCTGAATATAATCCTACCATACAACCCAGCCATCCCACTCCTTGGAATTTACCCAAAGGAAATTAAATTGGCAAACAAAAAAGCTGTCTCCACATTAATGTTTATTGCAGCTCAATTCACAATAGCTAAGACCTGGAACCAACCCAAATGCCCATCAACAGTAGACTGGATAAAGAAATTATGGGACATGTACTCTATAGAATGCTATACAGCAGTCAAAAACAATGAAACCCAGTCATTTGCAACAAGATGGAGGAATCTGGAACACATCATGCTGAGTGAATTAAGCCAGTCCCAAAGGGACAAATATCATATGTTCTCCCTGATCGGTGACAACTAACTGAGAACCAAAGAGGAAACCTGTTGAAGTGAAATGGACACTATGAGAAACAGGACTTGATCAGCTCCTGTCCTGACTGTTGATGTACAATGTAATACTTTATCCATTTTAGTATTTTTTTGTTCTAGTACTATTGGTTGAACTCTGTAATTAACACACAATTATTCTTAGGTGTTTAAATTTTAGCTGAAAAGTGATCCCTGTTAAATATAAGAGTGGGAATAAGAGAGGGAAGAGATGTACAATTTGGGACATGCTCAATCAGACTTGCCCCAAATGGTGGAGTTAGAAATGTGCCAGGGGATTCCAATACAATCCCATCAAGGTGGCATGTATCAAAGCCATCTCACTAGTCCAAGTGATCAATTTCAGTTCACAATTGATCACACTGATAGGTCTAAGAGTCAAAGGGATCACACAAACAAGACTAGTGTCTGATAATACTAACTGATAGAATCAAAAAGGGAGAAAATGATCCAACATGGGAAGCTGGATACACAGCAGACTCATAGAATGGCAGATGTCCTAAACAGCACTCTTGCCTCAGAATCAGCCCTTAAGGCATTTGGATCTGGCTGAAGAGCCCATGAGAGTATTTTAGGCATGGAAAGCCAAGACACTCTGGGGGAAAAAAAAAAAAAAAAAGAAGACCTAAATGGAAGATATCTGCTAGTGAGATCCCAGTGGAAAGAAAGAAGGAGGTACTTTTCTCTGAAGGGATGAGAGAACTTCCACTTTGACTAAGAACCTGTCGGAATAAGATCGAAGTCGGCGAACTCAAAAGGCTTCTATAGCCTTGGCAACTCATGACTAGAGCCTAGGGAGATTACTGACTCCATAAACAAGAGTGTCAAATTGTTAAGTCAACAACAGGAGTCAATGTGTACTTACTTCTCATGTGGGATCTGTCCTTAGTGTGTTGTCCAATGTGAAGTAATACTATAACTAGTACTGAAACAGTACTTTACACTTTGTGTTTCTGTGTGGGTGCAAACTGATGAAATCTTTACTTAATATATACCAAATCGATCTTCTGTATATAAAGATAATTGAAAATGAATGTTGATGTGAATGGAATGGGAGAGGGAGTGGGAAATGGGAGGGGTGCGAGTGGGAGGGAAGTTATGGGGGGGGGTGGCCATTGTAATCCATAAACTGTACTTTGGAAATTTATATTTACTAAATAAAAGTTTTTTTTTTTTTTTTAAAAGAAGAGATGGCTTTGTCAGGAAACAGATAGGTTTAACTTCAGAACTCCACACTATAAGCCATTATGGGGAATTCAAGCTTCTCTGTTCCTTACATTTTTCTCTTCATATCTCCTTATCTACTCAGTGCCCTATTATTCCATATCACACTAAATGGCAAAGTAAGTGGAACGATAAACCTATATTAAAGTCATTAGAAAAGGATAGAGCACTTTTCTAAAGCACCGTGACATTACATTGTTAGTAATGTCTCATCTTTCCCCTTACCTCTTTGTATTATTAGATTGTTCTTAATGTATAAACTTCCCTCTTCCATTCAACTTATTAAAAATTGTATTTGTGGGGCCTTACTTTCTGTCCATCTCTACTAAAATGATATGAAGGAAGTTTTCAGCTGAGAAGTAAATGTGAATAGTTTCTGGTTATTATTATTTTTGTTACTTCAAGTAGAAAATGAAAGACAACTTAAAAGCTGCTTCCAATGAATATTTCTTAGTATTCTGACCCTTTCACTCACTGCCTCCTGAAAAAACAGGCCAAAAACAGGACAGGTGTGGCGACTCAGGTAAGGACACCTGCATTCTTTATCAGGGTGCTGGGATTGAGATTTCCCTCTACTTCCAATCCGGCTTCTTGTTAATGCTCCTGGGAGGCAGCAGATGATAATCTAAGACTTGGTCCTCTTGTCTTCCACGCAGGAGACCCAAATGGAGTTTCTGGCTTATTGCTTCAAACTGGCTCAGCCCTGGCTGTCGCGGGCATTTGGAGAGTGAACCAGTCGATAGAAGATTTCTCTCTCTCTCTCTCTCTCTCTCTCTCTCTCTCTCCCCCCTCTACATTTCAAGTTAATTAAACTAAACACACACACACACACACACACACACACACAAAACCTGCGCCGCGGCTCACTAGGCTAATCCTCCGCCTTGCAGCACCGGCACACCGGGTTCTAGTCCCGGTCGGGGCGCCGGATTCTGTCCCAGTTGCCCCTCTTCCAGGCCAGCTCTCTGCTGTGGCCAGGGAGTGCAGTGGAGGATGGCCCAAGTGCTTGGGCCCTGCACCCTATGGGAGACCAGGATAAGTACCTGGCTCCTGCCATCAGATCAGAGCGGTGCGCCGGCCGCAGCGGCCATTGGAGGGTGAACCAACGGCAAAGGAAGACCTTTCTCTCTGTCTCTCTCTCTCACTATCCACTCTGCCTGTCAAAAAAAAAAATATGCATACATTTGTAGCCTCTCAAGGAGGAGATGGATCTTCTCAGAATGTGGTTTAAAACAAATATCTTAAACAAAGACCTAGTCATTGACATCACAGGCTCCCCATTTCAACCTTATATTCCTACAACAAATGGCTCCCCATTCCCAAATTTCAAGTTTTCTGCTTGAATTGACTTTTGCCTAAATCACCTGTGTGTTCTTTTTTTTTTATTTTATTTATTTTTTTGACGGGCAGAGTGGACAGTGAGAGAGAGAGAGACAGAGAGAAAGGTCTTCCTTTTGCAGTTGGTTCACCCTCCAATGGCCGCCGCGGCCAGCACGCTGTGGCTGGCGCATTGCGCTGATCCGAAGCCAGGAGCCAGGTGCTTTTCCTGGTCTCCCATGGGGTGCAGGGCCCAAGCACCTGGGCCATCCTCCACTGCACTCCCGGGCCTAAGCAGAGAGCTGGCTGGAAGAGGGGCAACTGGGCCAGAATCCGGCGCCCCGACCGGAACTAGAACCCGGTGTGCGGTTGCTGCAAGGTTGGGAGAGGATTAGCCAAATGGAGCCGCGGGTGCCGCCGGGTACTTGAGTTTTAACACCAAAAATGTCATATGTCAATCAGTCAGATGGAAGGAGTTAAGTCCCTTTGCAGACTCACTCTGTACCTGGCTGCAGACCCCCAGCGAGTGCTTCTTTCATCTGCCAGAGAAGCATACTGGGGTGCTCTGGCCACCTCGACCTGTTGGGTGATGCAGCTTTCCCAGGACACAAGGAAGAAAAAAAAAAAGGAGAAGGATAAGGAGAGGAGGGGAGGGGGGTGGGGGAGGGGGAGGGGGAGGAGGAGAGGGGAAGAGGAAAAAATGGAAGAAATAAGTCCCTAGCTTGGCCTGGCCCTGGCCATTGCGGCCATTTGGGAAGTGAACTGGCAGATGGAGGATCTCTCTGTCTCTCTCTTTCTCTCCCTTTCTCTCTATACCTCTGTCTTTTAAATAAATGAATAAATCTTAAGGGAAAATGTTGACTACCATGTTTTGATTGCTACACATTGCATATATATGTTGAAATATTACATGGGCCGGCGCCGCGGCTCACTAGGCTAATCCTCCGCCTTGCAGCACCGGCACACCGGGTTCTAGTCCCGGTCGGGGCGCCGGATTCTGTCCCGGTTGCCCCTCTTCCAGGCCAGCCCTCTGCTGTGGCCAGGAAGAGCAGTGGAGGATGGCCCAGGTGCTTGGGCCCTGCACCCCATGGGAGACCAGGAAAAGCTCCTGGCTCCTGCCATCGGATCAGCGCAGCGCGCAGGCCGCGGCGGCCATTGGAGGGTGAACCAACGGCAAAGGAAGACCTTTCTCTCTGTCTCTCTCTCTCACTGTCCACTCTGCCTGTCAAAAAAAAAAAAAAAACAAAAAAACAGCTAGTTCATGAAATATTACATTGCTGCCCATAAATATGTATAATTACTGTCAATAAAAATACAAAAAAATACACTCACATAGTTCCTATCACCCTTCTAATTATCTGTTAACTTTAAAACTATGTATTAAAACATACATTTTAGTGCTTGTTGTTGTTAGAACATAAGTACTTTACAAATAAGAACAGATTTAACTCTTCTGGTAACTCTACCTTGTAGTTACTATCATTATCAAATCCATCTTTTTTTCCTTTCATAGTTTTCCCAACAGGAGTACAGAGAGGGTTAGGGGACCTCCCCAAGACTGGACACCTTAGGAGTGGTGGAGTCAGAGTTCTGCCTGGAGGGTCCTGTTTCCGGAGCAGGCTGTCACTGCGATTGACAATGGATCAACTGTGGATCTGAGGGTGAAGTAAGCTGGATAAAATGTGGAAAGCACCTAGCAAAGAATCATGGTAGATATCTTAATTAATGTATGTATCCCTCCCTTGTGAGCCCATGTTTTATTGACGGCAAAGCTGTGCTGCTTTCACTATGCCATGGCTCTGCTTCTATAAATAATTACAGAAGCAAGAGCACTGTGTCAGAGGAATTGCAAACAAAGGATTGTGTACGTTATGTCAGAAAAACCATCAAGAAGAGAATGCAGTTTCCTGAAAGGAAAAAAAAATATATACATAAACTTACTGATAGTCTAGAAGGGCTTCACTAGTAGGCAGTTTGGTTTCCTTTGGCTTCTCTTGTGTATCTTTTTTATTTGCTTTCCCCGTGGTTTCCATTGTGCTGCTTAGCTATTAAAGAAATACCTGTTTAGAAAAGAGACATAGGAAAAGTGAATACATTCTCTGTGTCAGTCTACTTGTGCTTACTCTAGCTAAGACCCCTGGGACTTAATTTAAGGCTAGTTTTTCTATCCTCAATGCTTCTGTGTCCCCAGATATAACATCAACCACAATGCTGGAACATCATGAATCAATTGGATTTTTCAGTCTGGTGAGTTTCATGTTTAGCCCTGGTGCAACATTCCTTCCACCCAAACCGTTCTAACAGCCTCACTCTCATGCTATCCATCTATGTCTGTTGCCTCTACCACGCTCCCTTAGGGCACAGGAATGAACTTTTTCAATAGTTTTATTTCTCTGCAGTGTTTGACAGAGAGCAGTACACACAGCTGCAGCTCAATAGATGTCTATTAAGTTTTTGACAATTGAAACAAAAGTAGACCACAATTTTCTATGTGCACCAAGAAGCCAGGATACAAACGAATTAGCACTAGGATCTAAAGAATTGTTTGGCCAGGGTTGCTATAAAGAGCAAATAAACACAAACACTGATATGTTTTTTGAAATGGATTAGAGGCTTACAATGATAATAAGGTCATAATAACAATAACTCTTCTTTCCTTTTACATGTAATGAAAATCAAGGAAATTTTTAAAAGGGAAAATACAGACACACTGTCCACAGATGTTTATAGTAATCAGAAGTACTTCATGGATTTGGTTTACAAACTAAGGTATACTTTACAGAGAGTAGTCTTTTTTTTTTTTTAAGATTTATTTTATTTATTTGAAAGTCAGAGTTAGAGAGAGAGAGGTAGAGACAGAGAGGTCTTCCATCCGCTTATTCACTCCCCAGATGGCCACAATGGCCAGAGCTGCGCTGATCCGAAGCCAGTAGCCAGGAGTCTCCTCTGGGTCTCCCACATGGGTGCAGGGGCCCAAGGACTTGGGCCATCTTCTACTGCTTTCCCAGGCCATAGCAGAGAGCTGGATCAGAAGAGGAGCAGCCGGGACTAGAACCGGCGCCCATATGGGTTGCTGGCGCTTCAGGCCAGGGCATTAACCCACTGCGCCACAGCACTGGCCTCAGAGAATAGTCTTTTTTCTTTTTTTAAATTTTTTTTATTTGACAGGTAGAGTCATAGACAGTGAGAGGGAGGGACAGAGAGAAAGATCTTCCTTCCGTTAGTTCACCCCCCAAATGGCTGCTACGGACGGCGTGCTGTGCCGATCCGAAACCAGGAGCCAGGTGCTTCTCTTGGTCTCCCATGCGGGTGCAGGGGCCTGAGCACTTGGGCCATCCTCCACTGCCCTCCCGGGCCACAGCAGAGAGCTGGACTGGAAGAGGAGCAACCAGGACTAGAACCCGGCGCCCATATGGGATGCCGGCGCCGCAGGCGGAGGATTAACCAAGTGAGCCACGGCGCCAGCCCCGAGTAGTCTTTTTTTAAAAGAATTTTATCTTTTATTTCCATTAATCTCAAAAGCATCAGTGCCTAACTGTGAGTCAATGTATTTGTAGTTTGTCATGGTAGAAAGAAGAACATAACCTTTGTAATTATTAGTTTAAATGGCTGGAAACTCCTGCGAGTGGGCATGATATCATTCTTGTGCATTGCCATATTTCCTATCCTAGCACAACAGACACACAATAAATCCTGGTCAAGTGAATACATTAGTGCATGACTGAATTAATCAGGTAGATAGTGTTTTTATTCTAGATCTGCCACCTATTTTCTATGGGCACTTGAATGCTTGATGGTAGGCAATTTGGCTCCCTCAGATAGCCTGTCTTGTTTTCACTTTTTATTTGCTTAATCCCTTTGAACTCTTTGTCCATCATCTGTAAGTTAAGAACCATAACAATCTTACTCTAAGAGCTACTGTAAGGATTAAATAAGCTAATATTTAATGCTTCTAGCATAGGGACTGACACATAGAAAGAGCTCATCATTATTACAAGTCTTCCTCTTTCCCTTCAGTTATAGTTTCAGATCATGCTTCTTCACATTCCAGATAACCAGAAAACAGAGAATGTCTGCCTGCTGCCAAGGGCAATGATATGTGGCAAGACCAATCCATGAGATTTGCCATGGTTAACCTTCATCATTAATGTGGATCACTCAGTTGGCAACTTGTGTCAATCTACACAGACCGTTCAGATCCACAGTGGAAAAACTCACTGAAATGAAAACACTTCTCTATATACATGTTACTCATACACCCAGATCTCTTTGTCTGAGACTTTTCTAGCCAAGTATGCACATCTCTGGATGCAAACAAATTCAACTATATATTAATGCAAATACTTTTCAACTGAAAAACACACAGGTGACACACAAAAAGATTTAAAATATGAAGATTTAAATTTAAAAGATTTAAAATATGAAGACAGGGTTTCAGTCTTCTCAAAGGATTGAGACTAATTCAACAACCTCCATACTAAAACGTGTCATCATTATAACATCACAGTTTACAGAAAATTATCAGCTAAGAAAAAAATTGTTCTTTTGTGTCAGATGGGGAGTTGAATTTTTCATTATTTTCTACTTTAGGGTTAGAATTTTTAACTTGGCTGTTGCACAAAAAGCATGCTGACAAATGTTTTATTTTAAAGGAATAACTTACTACTTAATAATGATTGTGTTATAACATCTCTTATTTAAAGTTAAGACAAATGTCAACATTAATCTCTATCTGAGTCATATGGAAGAGATCAAGTGTTATGGTCCCCACCTGTGGTATCCATCTGGCGTTGGAGGAAAAATGACCTCATCTTGCTCAATTACCTCAGTTACCTGGCTCTTATGTTTCTAACTCTCTGACTAATGTATAATTAGTTTCCTAACCTCAGCTTATAGCAAAGGACTTTAATAAAATATAAGTGAAAATGTTGATCCATGAGAGCATAAATGATTTATGCATAGACTATATTCAGATTCATTGTTTCACACACTGTCAAGAAAATGAGTACAAGCCAATTCGATGGCCTGCTTAACAGTTGTATTTCTGCAGTGAGCTAATTATAGTACCTCAATGTGTACTTCTGTATTTGATAATGTCCTGCAAACAATGGGGACTTTCATAAACATTTACAAAAATTTACAGTTCCTGCCCACCCAGAGGTTTTCTACCTCAGGAAAGGGTGAGAATTCTGGAAAAACATTCACAAAGTAAATGTTAATATGTCCCTGGGAGGTTACAGTCAGGCTAATTCCTGACAAAGGGACATCCAATCTGTCACTGCAAACACCTGTTCAGTGCCTGCTCTGCACATGGCACTTTACCTGGCCCTCAGTTATAGAACATAAAAGAGGCAAGATCCCTACTCAGAACAAAGAAGCATTCGGCAGCGGAAGTTTAAAAAAATAATGAGCAATTTTAAAAAGACATTGGTGAAATCATGCAGACAGTGCTATGGAGATCTTCACCCAGAATTTGACCTCTCTCCTGCGCTCATGTGTGTCTTTCCTCTCCCAGCTCGGCTTGGGAACTTACAACCTACACCATGGAGTGAGGGCACTGAGCAACTGAGGTTTGAAAGACTCAGGTCTCCAGCCTCCCCAGGCCACTCCACAATCACTTTCTGTCTGAAAATGTTTCCCAAACCACTCCCTCAATGCTTCTCAGTGAAAAGTAAAAGTCTACTTAGAGTTGACCATCTGCATATAAAGATAATTAAAAATGAATCTTAATGAAGGATGGGATGGGAGAGGGAGTAGGAGATGGGATGGTTTGTGGGTAGGAGGGTGGTTATAGGGGAGAAGAACCGCTATAATCCAAAAGTTGTACTTTTGAAATTTATATTTATTACATAAAAGCTTTCTATTAAAAAAGTCTATTTAGTAAGAGGGATATGGGATATCACTATCTTTAAATGTGCTATTAACCCATAGTGCTTTTTTTTTTTGGACAGGCAGAGTGGACAGTGAGAGAGAGAGAGAAAGGTCTTCCTTTGCCTTTGGTTCACCCTCCAATGGCCACCGCGGCCGGCACGCTGCAGCCTGCGCACCGTGCCTATCCGAAGGCAGGAGCCAGGTGCTTCTCCTGGTCTCCCATGGGGTGCAGGGCCCAAGCACTTGGGCCATCCTCACTGCACTCCCTGGCCACAGCAGAGAGCTGGTCTGGAAGAGGGGCAACCGGGACAGAATCTGGTGCCCCAACTGGGACTAGAACCCGGTGTGCCGGCACCACAAAGCAGAGGATTAGCCTACTGAGCTGCAGCACCAGCCCCCATAGTGCTTTGACGCTGCAAAAATCACCCAACAGAGCACGTCCCTGCTGACACAAGCTTAGGACCATGGTTTAATATCTCAGCAGCTCCTAATACCTCTTCTCATGACTTTGTGGAGTCACCAGGAACCTGAAGCCTCCTAATGCCTCCTTGAAGAGTCTCATGGAGCCAGGGAAGAATGGCAGTATGGCACTAAATACCTTCCGGGGCACACAATATGGATCCTTATGCTTGTTACTGAATATTTTATGTAAATGTAGATTAAAGTAGAAGGTATTTACCTGATAATATTAATAATGACAAGATCTGAATAAGGGACTGACATGTTGCAGCAAGTTAAGCCAGCACTTTGTGACACTGGCATCCCTTATCTGAGTGCTGGTTCAAGTTCTGGCTGCTCTGCCTCTGATCCAGCTCTCTGTTAATGTGGCTGGTAAAGAGGTGGAATATGGCCGAAATACTTGGGCCTCTGCCACTCACAAGAGAGACCTGGATGGAGTTCTGGGCTCCTGGCTTTGGCCTAGCCTAGCTCCAGTGGTTGCCGCCATTTGAAGAGTGAATCAGTGGATGGAAAATCTCTCTCTCTTTCTCCCCTCTCTCTCTTTCAAATAAATAAATAATAATTCTTAAAGAAAAAAAGTTCTGAATAAGATTACATCAGGGGACAGGAATCCAATGTGATTAAAAGATCTCTATATGGGTGTTGGGAGTCCTGAGGTCTAGTCTTGGCTCAGCCATTAACTAGCTATCAACTTGCATAAGTCTCTACTAGACATAGTAATAATGTAGTACTTTAAAAAAAATACTCCAAATTAAGAGGCACAGCCCTCACTATAATTTAAATTGCAAGGCTGAAATACACACACATATGCAAAAACATTCATGACACTCATCTTCAGAAAAATATACGTTATTTACTGCTAAATAACAACTAGTTCAACAAACATTCATCATCACTGGGAATTAAAAAATATATGCTTCACAGCATATGCAGCATCTAGATAAAAACTAGATGTAATACTTATTTGAAAGATTAACATGCAAGTAAGGCGCACTCACTGTCTTTACCAATGACCCTACTCATTTATTCAAATTTCCTAAATTTGGAAAGTAAAGGTACCTTTAAACTCAAATCTTTAGTGACACCAGAACATACTTTAATATAATTACAAATGCTCTCCTGCACGTGTTGAAAAGAAACGGAATTCACTAAAGCCTCTCAGTAATGACAATACCATCTAAAAATTTAATGAATTTTCAGACCTCTTTTTACAACGGATATGTAGGTAGCCTGAAACAACTAGTGTTAAATGTAAAATTCATCCAGTTTATACATATGTTAAAACTTTTTTCTCATGAATGATATTTTCGACTTGGAGTTGGTGACTGGTGATGTCCACTGTATTATCATGTATTCTCTTACCAATTTAAATCTTTAGTCAGTGGTACATTTTTGAACTGTAGGTCCCAAATTATACTGGTTTCTTAGCTTTACAATTGGCCTTTCAATGCAGAACTGCTAATAACAAAGAGTTTGAAATGCAATGTATTAAATTAACTTCTCTAGTAACCAGAACTACATTTTTCCAACTCTCGCTGTTAGAAAGGTCAAAAGAGAAAAGAAATATAGCCACAAAAATATTATGAGGAATAGAACCGCATGTAATACTTTTGTATTCTGATGCTGAAGGAGAACGAAAAGGCTCCTCCCTGCCTTCCAGGAGCAGCAGTGAAGATGAGGATCTGCTGGAGCGAGGCCTGGGAGGGGCAGCAGGGGAATCCGGGGGAAAGGATCACACACACTGATAAGCAGCAAAGCCTTCTTTGCCTTCACAGCCATCTTTTCAATCTTTTTTTTTTTTTGGCTTAGCGGGGCATCTTTTCCTAACCTAATCACCTAACCAGTTTCTTAACTCCTCTGCCCAGCAGAGAATTTATGGGATGAGAAGGGGGAGGAAACAAAGTACTATACAACAAAATATCTAACAAGTTCATGGAAGAAACCACCAGTGTTCCCTTTAGAAAGACGTACAACACCCAAGGCAAGGAGCTGAAGCACCGTGTGGCTGGCAGTGTGAAGCTGAAAGGCCGTCAGCGGCACACTGGGCACCTGGCAGGAGCCCTCCGTGGGGAAGCATCGTGCTGCTGTGCACAAAGGTGGAAGCCTCTGTGCAGCCCTCACTCAAAACGCGATCACTGGACCGGGAAGAGAAGCAAGACTGAGCACGTCCTAGCTCCTCCACTGAGATAAAAACTCTGTGATCCTCAGCTTCTTCCTACGTCCTGTTGGGGTTATTAATCGGGCTTTGGGAAAACTGTGAAATAACAAAGCCCCCTACAAATGCAGAGCTTGCCGCGGGGCCCCCTTATGCACAAGTATTCATTCCAAGACCCCAGTGGATGGCCTTAAGCCCTGGATAGTTCTGAAAACTTCGTTCGCTGTATGTTTTTACTATTCATTCACACCTATAATAAAGTCTCATCTATAAATTAGGCCCATATGGCAATAGCTAAGAAAACAGAACAACTTTGACAATATATTCTAATAAGTTATTTGTAAATTAAAAAGTTAATTTCTGAAACTGTCTCACTGGAATTTTGAATTGCTGACACCAGGTAACCGACACCTCCCTCACCGCGGAGAAGAGGAGCGACTTCAGTAGTTCGCTGAGCAACTACTGCTGCTAGAGCCTGTGAGAGGGCGCCATGAAGGCTACAAACCTTAGAGCAGACCTAGGAAGGCTGATAAGCAACGCATTCAAGAGTTCCACTGCAAGGCTGAGAGGTGGATTAAAATTTTGATCAGCTTCAACAAAGTCTGTTTCCCACTCTGGGTGTTGTTAAGAGGGGTAAACCAGTGAGGAACCCCGCCCAGCAGCGCCTAACGGTCCAGGAACGGCGCCCCAAGGAGGAAACCATGAGGCGCGACCTCAGACCTAGCTGGGGGCCCAGCAACCCCAGGCCGGTGCAGAGGCGCGGGGAAGGCGGGAGGAGTCTCCTAAAGTCTTCAGGGTCGGGTAGGAAGGAGTCGGGGCCAGGCCTCCCGATATCCCCTCGACCGCTTCCAGGCGCGGACACAGGGCTTTGGGCCTGCAGGGCGCTCCAGTGTCCCAGCAGCCGGCCGGGCCTACCCGCTCCTCTGCTGTCGCCGCCGCCGCCGCTGCCGCCGCCGCCGCCGCGGCGCCCTCGGTTTCCAAGGCGACCGGCATCCAGCCCAGCGGCCCCGCCGCACTGCTAGCAGCAACGTGCTGCGCGCGCCACCTGGCGGCTGCGTCGGGAAGAGTCCGGGCCGAGAACACGCTCAGTGGCCGCCGGGACGGTTCCTTTCCTCCTGGCTGTGGCCTGGATTTTCTGCGCCGTTGCTCACCCGGCTAATTCCGTAAAACGCACACAAGAGCCTCCCCGCTCTGTAGTCGCGACCTCGTAAGTGGGGTGGAGACTCTGTGCTGTGGCCGCGCACGGGTCCCTGAGTCACCAACGTGAAGGGGTTCCCCAGGCCGCGGCCGTGGCTTCCGGCCCACCGGCAGCACCGGGACCGCGGTGCAGGTGCGTGCGGGGTTCTGCCCGCAGCTGCCCCGCTCTGCCGCTCCCGCTGCGGCCGTCTCTCCTCTGTCTACTTCTGTGCCTTAGTTCTTTTGATGTTAACTCCGGGCAGAATGGCACACCCCTGGTCAAAATGTTTATAGGATCAATGTGGGCCTGCCAAGGCTTCGATTCTGCCTTGTTGCCTTCTCTCTTTACTTTTTTGCTCCTACGCCTCAAGAAAACCAATGAAGCGCCGAGGCTTTTCGCTTCTTTTCACTTTGGCAGCTGTCTCTTCGTTCGAGGGAAAATTATCCCCCGCTTGCAGTCTTTCCCTCCCCTGCTGTCTTTCCCGTTCTCTGCGTCCAGACGATCTCTTGCAACCTGGGACGCCCGCAGCTGCCAGTCACACAGCCCAGTCAGTTCCTCATCCTTTTGTGCGGGGGAAGGAGGAAGTGAGGCTCCTTTCCGATTCTACTCTCTTCCTAGGTCACCCGGGTGGCGTTCTTGAATTTATTAATAAGTGATTATGTGTTTTGATACATGCCGTGTTAATAACACATTAGGTGGCCGGCGCCACGGCTCACGAGGCTAATCCTCCGCCTAGCGGCGCCGGCACACCGGGTTCTAGTCCCCGTCAGGGTGCCGGATTCTGTCCCGGTTGCCCCTCTTCCAGGCCAGCTCTCTGCTGTGGCCAGGGAGTGCAGTGGAGGATGGCCCAAGTGCTTGGGCCCTGTACCCCATGGGAGACCAGGAGAAGCACCTGGCTCCTGCCTTCGGATCAGCGTGGTGCGCCAGCCGCGGCGGCCATTGGAGGGTGAACCAACGGCAAAGGAAGACCTTTCATTCTGTCTCTCTCTCTCACTGTCCACTCTGCCTGTCAAAAAACAAAAACAAAACAAAAAACAAAAACAAAAAACCACACACATTAGGTACCTAACTGAAGCACTTAGTAAAAATGCTAATTGGCACTTGGTTAACGGAGTTTTTCTCATCAGTAAAAGGCATCCAAAAATGAACAGTTTGAGATAATGTATATAAACTTCCCTTTATTCTATCAATGACATATGTATATTTATTAAGCGCAAATGATTTGCTGTGACCTACATGTCTGATTAAGTTTTTAGGTACTTGATCTACTCGAAGACTTTGGGATTGAGGGGGTAAAATTATTAAACAGAGTGCAAATGCAGAAGAAAAAGAGATACCACCATTTTTTTCCTAAAGCATGGCGTTTCTTTTAGCTAAATGGAAAAGCAATTTGTGATTCTTCCACACTTCGAATTCATTCCCACATCATTTCCTATAAATCTTAGGCCTGCTTCTTTTACGAGAGCCTGGGCTCAGGGTCAAAAATGTACTTTTACCCTATCATTTATCTCTGGTACAGTTTTTTTTTAATGATGTTTGCCAATTGGTGGTCCAAGAGGGAAGCCAGATAGAAACCATTTGCTGGTTTTCCTCATTTGACCTTAATTTTTCTATTTGCCTTGCCATACTCAATGATGGAGAAACAGACGTTGGAAAGTATCTATGGTAGAAAAAGCCAAATATTCTGTGTGTGTGTGTGTGTGTGTGTGTTTTTTTTTTTGGCAAAACCCAAAGAATCTGTTTTGTATGAACAATTACTAAACTTTTTATACCTCATTTTAGATCAGAGTTTTTTAAAAATAATATGATTTTTAAAACTCGTGAGCATACTTGTTTTTGCATTGCAAGCTATTTTCACTGAAGATTACTACTTCGGGCAAGTAGACCCCAAAGCAATAAACAAAGTATTAACATTAAATCTCATAATAACCTCTAGAGCTCTGTACTAGAGATCAACCTGTTGATTTGGCAAACTGGTTCCAACTTCTAGTAACTCAGACTTTCCTGAAGCAGTTAATTTTGAGAAATAGAAAAGCTGTGATACAATTTCTTATGCAAACTTACTTATGACAAATTATAAACATTTAAACTGGTACTTTGCAAGAAAAAATCATGAAGTAAAATATTCTTCTGAGAAGAAAATAATTTATGGTACCTTTAGGAAGGCATGATGACAGACTCACAGAGGGGATTCTGTTTGAATCAGGATCCATTGTCATATTGCAATATTATAAAATGAAATGTGTTCCCACTTTACTCATAGTTGTAAGGATCACAGTTTTCCCCCTTTAAGGCTGGGGATGTACCCTGAAATTCACCTGCTTTTCTTTTTAAGTGTATTTATTTATTTATATGTTTATTTATTTGTATTTGAAAGGCTGAGTAAGAGTGAGAGTGAGAGAGAGCCAGTAAGCTAGCAACTCCACGTGGGTCTCCCATGTGGGGGGCAGGGACCCAAGTACTCGAACCACCATCTGCTATCTTCCCAGGTGTACTAGCAGGAAGCTGGATTGGAAGTGGAAGCAGGACGTGAACCCAGGCACTCAGACGTGGACGCTGGTTTCACAAGTGGTGGCTCCACCAACTGTGTTCCAATGTCTGTCCCCATCTTCTTTTCTTCATTTCTTTAAGTTTATTTGAATACCTAGAACTTTAGCAATAAGATAGTAATCTCTTTTCTTCTCCCTTAACTCCTCTGCATAACTAATTTTTGAAATTACTTTTGTGGTCCCTGTTTTTTTTCCTAAGAGAAGAGGAATTTAGTGAGTGGGAGCCAGAGTTTCATGTCCCAGAAACCTGGGCCAGGTGATGTGAATTGTTCCTGTTGGATGTAGCATATGGCATCATGAGGGCATTCAGCAACAATGAATTGTCACATGTGTGCTGCAGTTTTAAAATATGACCACAAAGAATAAGCTTATAAATTAATAGAACATAGAAGGAATTCAATAATAGATTTATATGGTTAATTACCTTGGACAAAAATGTCAAGGTAACTAACTCAATGAGGAAAGAGTAATTTTTTTCAGCACATGCTTCTGTAACTATTGTGTTTCTATTTGAAAAAAAAATGAACCTTGATTCTGAGAGAAAAAACTATACAAACTATACAAAAATGTTCTCAAAATGATCATAGATGTGAACATCAAAGCTAAAATTATAAAACTTCTACAGTAAAATAGGAGAATATTTTTGTGATTTGGGGTTGGCAAAGGTTTCTTATATAGGAAAAAAAAGCACAATCCAAAAGAGAAAACAATAATTTGGACTTTATCCAAATTTAAAATTTCTGCTCTTTAGTTAGTTTTCATAAGACAAAAGGACCATAGACAATTTAGAAGAAAATATTTCAACATATACTCCTGCAAGTATACTGGTATCTGAAATTTATAAATAATTTCTAAAATTCAATAATAAGAAAATAAAATGACTAGTTGAACAAGCATTCCACAAAAAGATAGATCCATGACCAAACAGCACATGGGAAGATTCTCAACATTATTAGTCATCAGGAAAAGGCAAATTAAAACCATAATACAGTGCCACTACACACTCATTAGGATGGCTAACCTTAAAAAGACTGTTGGACAATACCATATGTTGATTGGATATGAAGTAACTAGAACTTTTATATATTTCTAGTAGACAAGTAAAATGCTACAACCACTTTGGAAAACAATTTGGTATTCTCTTAAGTTAAACATGTACTGCATGACCCAGAAACCCCATCGCTAGATATTTACTTAAGGGAGATGAAAGTGAATGTCAATAGCAGCTTTATTCATAAGCTAAATCCATAAATAACTCAGATGTCGACTTTTTTTTTTTTTTGACAGGCAGAGTGGACAGTGAGAGAGAGAGACAGGAGAAAGGTTTTCCTTTGCCGTTGGTTCACCCTCCAATGGCCGCCGCGGCCGGGCGCTGTGGCCGGCGCACCGTGCTGATCCGATGGCAGGAGCCAGATACTTCTCCTGGTCTCCCATGGGGTGCAGGGCCCAAGCACTTGGGCCATCCTCCACTGCACTCCCTGGCCACAGCAGAGAGCTGGCCTGGAAGAGGGGCAACCGGGACAAAATCCGGCGCCCCGACTGGGACTAGAACCTGGTGTGCCGGCGCCACAAGGCAGAGGATTAGCCTAGTGAGCCGCGGCGCCGGCAGATGTCGACCTTTTTTAATTTATTTATTTGAAAGGCAGAGCTACAGAAAGGCAGAAGCAGAGACAGAGAGGTCTTCCATTCGCTGGCTCACTCCCCAAATGACCACAACAGCCGGAGCTAGGCTGATCCGAAGCTAGGAGCCACGAGCCTCTTCCAGGCCTCTCATGCAAGTGCTGGGACCCAAGGACTTGGGCCATCCTCCACTACTTTCCCAGGCCACAGCAGAGAGCTGGATTGGAAGTGGAACAGCCAGGACTCGAACTGGCGCCCATATGGGATATGGGCACTACAGGAGGCAGCTTTACCCAATATACCACAGC